GAAGCGATATAGGACGGAAAAAAATAAAAATAGATCTAGGCATCCTATTATAGCCCCAAATGCAACAATAGGAGCCATTAAGTCAACACAAAAGGCTGGGTTCATATTCAAACAATGAATGTTAAACTTTTAGTCAAACCACTGCATTGATAGATGGAAAAACTGTAACAACTAGGAAGAAAAGGACTGTCCTCAACTGTTGGGGGCAAAATATGTGCATCCTTGAGTTGATTCAGAACCAGAATCTTTTTTTTTTGTTGCAAATCAGAAAAAAATTAAGAAGCGAATCCAAGAACCAACAAATTAAATTGGTGTGGCCTAGAGTTTGAATTGTCTATCAGTATCATTCATCTGGAAGTCTAACCTTCATCAGCGTATCTTCCAGCTGCAGGAACCATGATTGCATCTCAAATATCAGGCACCCTGTATTTAGTGCAAAGCTCATTAAGAAAAGTTAAGTAATCACATAAACCCCAAGAGAAGGGATATTGCCATCAAGATGTTCCACCTCTATTAATTATGTAATCTGCATACATACACTGTACCAACTCCTAGCTGAGAGATTAGATGGGCTCCATCCTCGAGGCACTGAGATTGATTAACTTAAAAAGACGTCAACTTAATTACGTTTTCTGGTGCTTCAGGGTAGGGGTTGGTCACTGCATATGTTGTAAAAAATTTGATAGGCTTTTAATTTAAAAAGACAGCTGTCTTAGGGCCTTATCTATGGAGCTTTCTGTTGCAGCCTGTTTATTAGTTTGAGATAACTTCCGCTAAAAAAAAAATATTCCAGAAGACATATTATAACATAAGAAGTGTTCTGGCTAAGGTTCCACACCCTTGGTTCATAGCTCACGAATTCCAAGTCATCCAGGAAAGATTCCTCCAAACGTACATACGTCAAGTGAATTACACAAAACTTGTTACAGGAAAAGTTTTCTGGCTGAGATCCAACACTTACAGAGCTTGGTCCCCTCTTCCATTTACATTTGTAAGAACAGGAAATAAAGTAAAGATAACTCTTCCACGTGTCCAAGTGCATTGCAGAAGATACCTTACAAGTAACTTTTTTTCTGGCTAAGGTCCAGCACCCAAATTCATAGATTAGGCCCCTCTTCTTAAGAGTATTACAGATTGAAGATGTCACAGTGACTGCAAGAAAAGCATTTTTTGGCTAAGATTCAACACTCATGATTTATAGGTTAGAAATTCCAATATCAAGGAGGGTTCTTCCATGTGTCCAAGTCGTAATTTACAGAACATGTCAATGCAAGAAAAGTTTCTTTTTGGCCAGGTCCAACTCTCATGATTTATAGGTTACAAATTCCCTCTTATGAAGATTCTTTTCTCATGTCCAAGAGTATTAAGGAAGATGTCACTACAAGAAACATTTTCTGGCTGAGATTCAACATTTTGATTCATAGGTTGCAAACTCCCAGTTATCAATGGAAGTTCTTGCTTGCATCCAAGAGTATTGCAGCAGAAGATGTCACAGCGAGAAAAGCAGTTTTTTGGCTAAGATTCAACACTCATGATTTATAGGTTACAAATTCCCTGTTATGAGGTAAAGATTCTTTTCTCATGTCCAACAGTACAAATGTATTACGGAAGATGTCACTGCACAAAAAGTTTTTTTGGCTAAGATTCAACACTAGGTCTTATGACTTATAGGTTAGAAATTCCAACTTATCAAGGAGGGTTCTTCTGTGTGTCCAAGAGTATTACAGAAGACGTCACTGCAAGAAATTTAAGTTTTATGGCTGAGGTCCAACACTCATCATTCACAACTTAGGAAATCCCAAGTAAAGATTCTTCAAGTTGTTTCACAAGACACCTTTTCTGGATAGGGTCCAACAGTTCTGATTCACAGCTTACAGATTCTCAAGTTATGAAGTAAAGAGTATTACTGAAATGTTTCCTTGGCTAGAGTCCAACTCTCAAGATTCACAGCTCATGAATTCCCGTCTATTCCCATCAAGTTAAGATTCTTCCTCATGTCCAAGGTATTACAGAATATGTTTTACAACTAAGTTATTTTGGCTAGGGTCCAACTCTCGTGATTTACACATGTACCTTACAGATCTAGATTCCCAGTGATCTGAAGTAAAGACTCTTCCAGGTGGGGAAAAGTATTACTGAAAAGTCTCCTGGCTAGGGTCCAACTCTCATGATATGCTAAAAAAATCATCTCAAGATTCATAGCTTACAGATTCCCAGTTATCAAAAAGTAAAGATGCTTTAATTCTTCATGTCCAAGAGTGTTGTTCTGTAACTGCAGAGGGATTGATTGATAATGAAAAAGTCCAACTCAAACAGAAGTAGAAGTAGACAGATGATGCCATTGGGGAATTAACATCGTACTTTCAAACCAAATACCTGAAACCAACACCAACATCTGACTTCAATTTCCTCAGACCTAACCAGTGCAGCAGACTCATCTGCAAGACGATGTTGGCTGCCCATACCAAAGAAGAAAGATGTCCAAGAGTGTTGTTCTGTATAATAACTGCAAGAAAAGTTTCCTGGCTGAGGTCCAACCCTTGTGATTTACAGCTTAGTAAGAATTCCCGTTTAACCATTCATCAACCGAGGGGCAGCTGTTCCCCCCATCTGACGTATCATCGGTCTTCGCTCTTCCCCGGGGGACACACGAAAATCTTTGGCGGCGTCTCAATCACGAGTGTCTAACGTCTACAGGGAGGACTGAGAGATGCTGCAGGAATTTTATATGTTGGGCTGCCGGCTCCCTTCGTGCAATAGGCTGAATAAAAGTTATAAAACGGGAACTATGATGATTTACTATTTATTTTTGTGTTATAGTTTGATTTGCATTTTGTTTTGATTTTGTATTATATTTTGGTTTGATTTGTAATCCGTGACCCCGCCCTCACCCTCGACCTTGTTGAAAAGTGGTCATACGTATGTACCGAACAAGCTTTTGAGTTTAAATAAAGGCTTACTACTACTACTACTATGTGGATCCAGATGTCTTACTGAGGGGCGACTGCGTGTGTGCGATGTCGGTTAGCTTGAGGAATGAATCCCCTCTACTATATACTGCCGGCTCTCTTCTGATCTAAATCAAAATGGCAGGCTGCTAACTTAAAGATAGGCCGATGGCTCTCTTTTTATGATCTAATTTGTCAAACAGTAAAGAGAATCTTCTTCATCTATGTAGATTCTAACCTTCAAACAATGTACGTGTGCACACAAAACACCGCTAGCTCTCAACTGATCTACATGTGCATTGTAAGTCAAAATTGCAGGCAGCACAAGAAAGACTTCTAGCTGTCTTCATCTGATCTATGTCAAAGCAGTAAATGTAATCTTCTTAAGCCCTCATCTACGTACTAGAGGGCACAGCACAGTAATAGGGCTTTCCTATGTTAATATATGGGAATTATGTCAAAACAACGTGGTCAAAATTCATATACCAGAGTTTTAGACCTTGAAGAACATACATTGGCAGGGTAGGCCCCCAACCTCTCAAGTCTCCATTCCCAAAAAATGAAAAAATTCTACGCACCTAAACCATGTGAGAATTGTATCCAAACATTGAGAAGTGACCCCTGACCCCTCTGGACAGCTGATGACCGCATGTAAACCTATATCTTCTTCAGCGAGCCAGACAACACAAACATGGCTGCAAGTCTGTTTTTTCACCAAAATTAAAATACTACAACCCTTACCTATAACATCCAAGTCCAAAAAACAACATTTCCCTAGAAAAAGACTTCTTTACACTCTACATTACATTGCCATCTCTATATACTAAAACTGGGCCCTCTGCGCCTGCGCTATTCCTGACCTTTGCCCTGCATTCTAACCTTCATACATAATCGTAGATGCAGCTGTAGAGCATTTGGTAGAACCATGCACACAAAAAAACTGCTGGCTCTCCTGTGATCTGAGGCAAAATGGCAGGCCCTATAAGAAAGGCCACTGGCTCTCTTCATCAGATGTATGTCAAGCAGTAAAGATAATCTTCTTAAGCCCGCATCTACGTAAATTCTAACCTCCATCAATGCAGCATTTGATTGCTTTATGCAGGGATGGAGACTGAGAATCATACCGCACATAAAAGACTCCTGGCTCTCTTCTCAACTATGTCAAGCGCTATAAAGACAATCTTTTTAAGCCTTCATCTATGTACATGTAGCTGCTAGCCTTCGTCAACGTAGCAGTAAAGTCTTGTTGCTGATATAAACCAAGGAGGTTTTATAACCTCCTTGTATAAACTTAAAACCAGTCTACACAGTAAAGCCTTTGGTAGATTTGTGCACAGGAAATGGCCACTGGCTCTCTTGTTCTGATCTATGCCAAGCAGCTATAATCTTTGACCTGCATCTTTATAGCTTCTAATGCTCATCAACGTAGCAGTAAAGTATTATGTATTTGGTAGATTTGTTCGGGGATGGATCAAAGAGTGGGTCATACATTGTTAATGGCATGAAACAAAGTTCATGCTGACAGCAAAGCAAGGAAAGCCATGTAACACATCATAGAAAAGTACCCGTGTATGGATGTACTGGTATGTTAGCATCCATGCAGCCAACAGAGTATGACAAATATGTGAGAGGTAGTGAAGCCACATTGTACTGGTAGCTACAAGAAAAAGCATCAAGGATGACCAATTAAGAAGAGATTAGGTGTTTTACCGTACTTTGCTTATAATAAAGTGTACTATTAATACTTAAAGCAAATAGTTATGCAAATATGTTTATTTTTTATTTATTACACTTAACCACATACATAATATACATGGAGGGCATGGTGGAACAGGTGCACCTAAGTGCACCTTTTCAAGGCCACCATGTTTAAGTATATCCTACATATAATGCTCCATATCTATCTCATTTCAACCATCTGTTCAGCCTTACGTGTACACTAGCCTTTTATTTGTCTCTATGTCTTAATAATTTTAAAACTTCCCAACAAAGGAAGTGGGAGAAAAGGTCATGTAGGAGGCGATGTTAACAGTGGATATTTTTCCTCCCCAGACGTTTGAGTGGCCGGTTGCCAGCCCCATCGAGGGTAACGAGTACTTGGAAGTCCAGGTCTACAACTACAGCAAGGTCTTCAGCAACAGGTGGGCACAAGAACATGGAAAATAGTTTGAAGAACACACAAACAAAACTACCTACATCCTAGCATGAAACTTCATCTGTGTTGGTACCAGTCCGCAGTGCAGTATGATGTACATACACTATCTGGGCACCACATGTTATGGTACCAGACTACCATGTACATATGTATGCAACATGGCTTAACGATCAATGTAAGAGACTAAACTCTATCTCTGAGACTAGAAGGAATTGGGACTTACTAAACTACAATGTAGCTTGGCATTGAATTGTTCGCAGTGGTGCAAGAGGAAAGAACACACAAAAAAGAACACACAGCCAGTTCTTGTAACACATAAGGGTATTTCCTTTATTTATTCATAAATACATCAAAGCTAAAATCGTCACATACATTGTACAATCAAACATTCAAGCAGATATCATAGTATATCAATTCATAAATACAAAAAAACTTACAATGCGAACTGCTCAGCAACTGCATATGATTACAACTGCATTTACATCGTACACACAATACAAGTCTACTGGAAAAGCGATGCCTGCACGCCCCTGAAGCATTGTGGTGAAGCCCATGTCCTGCGCCTCCGAGGGTCGAAGAGTGTCCCGCGCAGGGCGACAGGCTGGGGTGTCTGAACCTTACACAGCATGCTGTGCCGGCCCTGAGGGGGGGCCATGGCAGGGGCAGGGGGGGACTGGTTCTTGTACAGCCAGCTGGGACCGCCTGCGTGCTGCTCGAAGCTCAGCCGGTTGTGGAGGGGGCTGGGCAGCTGGTCCAGAACCCTGGGTTTGGATAAAGGATCCATTCACTGTGTGTTACAATGGAGAACAGTACAAACAATACAAATGGTGATTCTTCATTTATAACTTTTTCACCATTCACCATTTCCATTTTTTTTGCTCATGGAATTTCAATAAGCTCACTTCCCGAGTCACTAAGTACCACATTTGTTGACAGAACAAATAGATTGATGCTTGACAACTTCAATTACTAACTTAAAGACATTCAATGGGGGTCTTTATCTTTCCTGGTCTTTCTTTACATTAGATTGCAAGAAAAACACCCTGAACAGTTAAGTAACTGTATTGGGTTGCAGTTCAGTTAAAACTTGGGCAGACTGTCACAATATAATTGGAGATGGACAAACCTGTAGAGATCTCCAGTGCTGGGAGTTGGAGGGACAGACTGAGCTGCAGCAGCCTTAGCCGGAGTGACAGTACAGCTGCTGTAGTTCGCCGAGGAGCTGACGTTGCCTCGCGTCGGGCTGGGAAACTGGTCCAGAACCCGGTAGAACTCTGCCGTCCCCGGGGACACCGACAGCCGACCTGCCGCCACAGACGACACGGCAAGCATGGAGGCAGACGTAACAGCAGGAACATGCACTCTACTACAGGCTGCTCTTGTGTGAGATGGGGATGACACTACTGACTTGTCAAAACCTGAGGTCACTGAACGGGACGGTGTCATGGGGTGTGATGATGTCACCGCAGGAACTGATGATGTCATCGGGTGCGATGACGTCAGCGCAGAAACTGATGATGTCATCGGATGCGATGACATCACCACAGGAACTGATGATGTCATTGGATACGACGATGTCGCTCCAGAGACTGATGATGTAACCGTATGACGTGACGGTGTCCCAGGGTGCGACGACATCATGCTCTGCCCGGATGCGGTAACCATGGAGACGGAATGACTGTGTGATGACATTGTTGTTGCCTTTGGAGGAGTGATGTTCAGGTACTGGTACTTCAGGAAGTGGGTCCGCTCCTCCTCAAACTTCTGCCTGTCCCTGCCCAGGCGGATTGCAGCGTCCGTAAACCTGTAATAAAGAGGTTTATTGTCAACTTGACTGAAAATGTCCACATTTTGCAGCCACCTAAGTCGCTGAATTGATGTAAGCACATTACAATGATATACAAGTAGTAGACGTTCAGAATTACAACTCACACAAATACACTTTAACATACACACTAAAATAACGCATTAAAATAACAGTATTGATGATGTAAAATAACATAGTTATTAGATCTTGAACCGTTTCCTCTCCTCGGCAAAGGTGGCCTTCTCCTCCTCCATCTCCCTCCTCTCCCGCTCCAGGGCCATCTTCTCCTCGATGAACAGAGCGTCCTTCACCAGCGCAGCCACCTAGGAGTAGTAAGACTGGATTATTCATAAAAACACGGGACAAATTGGCCTTGCAGTAAAAACTGAATTGCACCGAAGTTTACAATCAACATTTTCGCCAAAAAGCAGTTACTCAAGCCACTGGATATGATTTTGAAAACGTCAGACATTTCAGCTAGTATCCACTAGCTTTCGTCAGCGACAGTTTAGTCTAGCTTTTGTCCAGTCACTGACGAAAGCTAGTGGATACTAGCTGAAATGCCTGACGCTTGAGTAACTGCTTTTTGGCGTATCGTATTACCTGGATGTCTAACCTTCATCGACGTATTCATAAAAATACTGGACAAATTGGCCTTGCAGTAAAAACTGAATTGCGCCTAAGTTTACAATCAACATATTCAATAAAACTAACACTGTAGGCTATTATAGTACATATAGAAGTATACACAAGTTATGTTCAATGTTTTCGACATGGTTAACCACCTGCGTGTCCTGCTCGCAGTCTGCCGCGGCGAAGGTCTGCTGCAGCAGCTCCTCCTGCTTCATGATCAGGGTCTTGTACGCCTCCAGCCGGGCTTCTACGTCAAGACTCGCAGACGAGCACCCGTCGTCGCTCTCTTCGTCCTCTCCGTTGGAGCTCCTGGACTCCACATCCGCAGCAGCCTTCGCGGCCCTCTGCCCGGCGTTCAGATCGTTCAGTTTGGCCTCGTCTGAGGCACAGTTCCTCTCGTTGCTGCCTTGGTGAGAAGTTTGGCCGCCGATCAGATGGAGCATGGAGTGGAGCTGGTCTTTCAGCTTTCCCTCGACGATGTTCTGCACCACCTCATAAGGCATCTGTAGATGGCCGTCGCCTAAGTCGTCGTGATCAAGACTGTCCGGGGACATCGGATTGTGCTCCCTGTCTTGTCTCACCACGGCCGAGAACACCGTGGAAACCTCCTGCTGCAGGAAAGTCAGCGTCTCCCTCAACTCCTGGTTTTCAGTCCTCAGCTCTTTTTCTCGTTCTTCGTAGTTTGCCACGATGGACCGGTGAAGCTCCTCCTGGCTCTTCTTCTCCTCTTTGCTTGTCTTCCACGTCTTCCGACCTCCGTCTCCCCGAGGGACGACGTTGAGGATCTCGATCCCCTGCCTTCTCTCCTTCTTCTTCTCCGCAAGCGCGTGAAGCCTGTCCTTCACCCGCGCCATCTCTCGCTCCTTCTTGCGGAGGTCGTGGCGGAACTGCGTGTCGCGGGACTGGAGGACCGACTTCAGCTTCCTCACCTGAATAGAGAATAAGAAATAGCCATGCCTTCAAGTACCAGAGTTATCAACCAATGATTGAGGTGTTCAAGAACTCATTCTTTCCTAGAACTATCGCAGAGTGGAACTCGCTGTCGCCAAGTACAATAGGGGCATTATCATTAGATAGCTTTAAACAATGTATAGAGTTAGATGTTCCAAGGGTTAGGTGTTATAAGTCGTTCGGTGTAATATAGCCAGCTGCCGCCGTGCTGCGTGCCTGCTAAGCTGAACGTCGGTTATACAGATACAGAAGCTGGTGTGTTATGCCGAAGGGCGGTTATACCGGCTATACAGATACAGAAGCTGGTGTGTTACGCCGATGGGCGGTTATACCGGCCATACCGATACAGAAGCTGGTGTGTTACGCGGCTTACGCCGATGGGCATTTATACCGGCTATACAGATGCAGATACAGACCTCATCCTGAAGCTTCTTGGTTTTCTTCTCCTGGTCGACGAGGTCGGACTGGAGCTGCCGATGTCTCTCCTGCCGGATCGCCTGGTCCTGCTCTGACGACGTGATCTGGTCTGTAAATGAACAAAAGTAAAAATTGTTTTATTGCAAATTCATGCCCGGGGGCTAATTGCAAGTACAGAAGAAACATTTGGCAAATTAATACACAAAGAACTACTGCTAAACTCCTAAAAGCTACTGGGTTTGACTTCTTTTTTGAAGGCAGAGGAAGACAAAAAGACTTTAGAACTCTTGCCTACATCAGTCCATCAGACCCTACAATCAGACTGTATAATCAGAATTGTACTTGTTATGTCTAGGATGTACAGTTCATACCAGAAGAATACAGTATGTACAGTACACATTGACCCTAGACTTGCAGGCAACATTACTGGATATTGCCCTAAAAGGCTAGGATCGGCAGTTTTTTCTAGGGTCGGTCAGGAATAACAACATTTTTTTCCTTGGCCTTATTTTGAAGCAGTCTGTCTGGTTACCTTTCAAGTGCTGCTGGGTGTTCTCGAGGTGCCTGATCTCAGCTGAGTACTTGTGACTCTGATCCTCCAGTTCCCGCTGCTTGTTCAGGTGCTTGTGGTGTCCGGCGATGAGATCGTAGGTAACGTTGACGAGCTGTACCAGGTTGAAGGACCTTCCTGTAATGGGAAACAAATTTAAAGGAAATGTTTTTTCTTGTATATCCAACAGCAAGTCAGCACAATTTCTCTGTTACGAAGTAACTTACTTGGGCCTCAGTATACGTACCATGAGACAAAACGTTTATAACCTAAAAGAGAACTTATTTTTTTAAGCTGGCATTTCTACTATTGTAAACCTTTTGTGAAGAAATATGTCAAAACTCCCTGTTGATTCAACAAACCAACAAAAGCAGCTGTAACTTAAGATCATCAAACCTGTGCTAATGAGAGTTGAATCATTAATCAGCTAATCAACATCTTGTCAGACAACTTGCCAAAGAGAGGACATGTCTTTTCTGATGGACAGAGTGTATGGTTGACTCAAGGTCTGTCTTCCCCACTGCCTTTGCTAGCAAGATAAACATCCTAACCTGACTTGGCCCTAGACTTGTGGAGGATGGAGGGGTACAGTTTTAGCGTTGGCAGTAACAAGTCGTTTGGTGTAATATGCTATATATGCCAAAGGGTAGTTATACTGGCTATACACATCTTCTCTCTCTTGACATCATGGATGCCATCACAGGAGACAATGGGTTCTTCTTCTCCACTTGTCCCTGTCTTTATTTCTTTATGAAGATTTACCACATGTGGAAGGATTGACATAATAGGTCGATCCTCCATCAGTGAGCGGAGTTCTGTTGTGGTGATCTCTCTGAGCCCAGCATCTCACTTCAGGGTGTACTGACTACACAGATTGACAGAAACATCCTAACCTGACTTGGCCCTAGACTTGTTGTGGATGGAGGGGTACCCCAGTAGGCACAGTTCCTGGTCCAGCTGTACCAGGCTGTCCTGTATGTTATCCGGGGTGCAGAATCCGTCAGACAGGCTGAAGAGCGGCAGTTCCTCCATCAGCTGGAAGGTGGCGTCGGCCATGCAGGAACTGCACAGCTGAGGGAAAAATACCAACATGGTGGTCAACTTATCTTGAAAGTTCATCTATGTTGGTAGAAAACACTATGAAGGAAGTTTAAACTGTAATTTACAAAACAACAAATTGACTTACCCAAAGTTTTGAATGGAAAACTCCAGTCTTTGTCAAGGATTGAGCAATCCACGGCTTGTGTGTGACATCATGCAGATAACACAGACTTTCTGCAACCTATGATCCACTGCTCACGGAGCCACGTGTGTTATCTGTGTGACGTCACAGAAGCAGTAGATTGACAAAGACTGGAGTTGTACAGTCGAAAATTTGGATGAGTCAAATTTGTTGTGTTGGAAATTACAGTTTAAACTTGATTCATGGTGGTCAGTTGTGTAACAGTATATCCGATCCTTGTAAAATTAAATCCTGTTCATACATGTACAGTGAGGTACATAAATCGTAGGGTGAGTTATATTTCTCTCCCCTTTTTTGGACATGCACTCGATGGTAAATTCAACTATTAGAAAACAAATACATGTACACACACAATCATACAAAAAAATACATCAAAACAAGATGACATTTTGCAGTGACATTTTGCAATAACTACATGTAATTACATTAACATATCAGAAACATACCAGACACACAGGTTAAGTGACTTCATTGCAAACACAGTCTTCAACTAAACATTGAGTATCCCAAGGGAACACTTCAAAAGCATCAGTCAACAGCAGAATGATTACATAGCCTGGCATTTATGAACTACCACATTAATGTTCTGGTCAGAATTCTGAACCAGGGCATGAAATACTGGGTGCACATGCACCCAGTATTCAAGCTGTACCTATAAATTATGATAGTATAATTTTTTACTGTGGTTAACGTTGCAGCTAGATATTTGTGTAGGATACAGTAATGGTAAGGTACCATTATACACAAGTATCCGGACATTCAAATTTCAGAAAAAAAGGGTGCACCTGTTTCCAAAATAATGAGTTTCAAGCCCTGTTCACCTTTTCGCGAGTGGAAGTCCTGTTGACCATGGGGGAAGGGCTCTAGGAAGACATTCTCACTGCCAAACCTGGCACAGTTACTAGACACAGCTTATACATGAGGCTGAATTTTCACCTTACCCATCTTTTCACGTGTGGAAGCCCTGTTGACCATGGGGGAGGGCTCCACGAACACATTTTCGCTGCCGAGCCTGGCACACGGCCTGAGGTGGTCCCTGTGCACCAGCTTCTTCTCAGATTCTGAGTCAGAACCAAGGATAAATCGAAATAAATGTTCAAATGTTCACATTCCTCACCTTTTCGCGTGTGGAAGCCCTGTTGACCATGGGGGGGGGGTTCTATGAACACGTTCTCGCTGCCCAGCCTGGCACAGGGCCTCAGGTGGTCCCTGTGCACCAGATACTTCTCAGGACCAAGAATAAATGTTCAAATGTTCACATTCCTCACCTTTTCTCGAGTGGGAGCCCTGTTGACCATGGGGGAGGCATCTATAAACACGTTTTCGCTGCCCAGCCTGGCACAAATGGGCCTCAGGTGGTCCTGGTGAAGCAGATTATTACTTAGAAACAAGGCCAAATTCTCCAAATCCTCACCTTTTCCCGATTGGAAGCCCTGTTGACCATGGGAGAGGGTTCCATGAACACGTTCTCACTGCCGAGCCTTGCACAGGGCCTCAGATGGTCCCGGTGCACGAGATATTTCTCCGGCAGTGGAGTCTTGCCGCTGTGGGCGGGACTGTTGGCTCCCAGCAGCTGCCACATCTGCAGGCTCACATTATTCTCCTCATCCGCAGACTCAGGACCGATGTTGGCGTGGTGAGCCGTGATGTCCTCGAACACCGAGCGAAATGACGAAGTCGTCATCCTTTGAATTTTCTCTCGTACACAACACACGCGTCAGTCCTAAACACTCAAAATACACATATACACTATATTATACAGGATTGATTTTTCTTCAAAACATGCATATAGAATGGAGGTTATTCAACGTATTGATCACCTCATTGGATTGCCAGTACATCCTGAATATTGTTGTGAGCCGAGAGGTCTTTGAATACCAATTGGAATGATGATGTCATCTTTCGATCACGTCCTGAATGCTTGACGTACAAGATTTGCTTAAAACAATTTTAGAAAATAAAAGATTTTACGTTAATAGAATGGACATTGCTGATCCCCTTCCTTTCATCACTGAAAATACAACAGATTATAAACCATGTAACACCAGAATGCAGAAATGCATGCACAGTATACAGGTCAAATCACGGTAGCAGCCGAATACAGACACATGTCCAAGCAATCCAACATGTCATTAGCATTCTCCCTGCTCTACGTACTGTAACACAGTCCATCACTGTGTGAATTATTCATCACATGCAACAGTTCCACCGGGACACACTACTGCCGGCTTAATCAATCGAAGGGCCGAATCTGTAAGCTGGCTGCACATCTATTCAATATTAAAATCACCATAATTTGTAATTCGGTCCATACAGTTACATTTGTACAACCATCCAAAATTATCATGTAAGCTTTAAGTTATCAGTAGCCTTTTCTGCTTTCAATTATGAGTGGACAAGCCCATATTTTTTACTAGTAGTAAAATAGTGGTAAGTGTATAAATGTGCTTTTCATTAATTTCTTATGGCTTTTTATAGCCCTCAATCAGTTTTCTGTGTTGTCAACACTCAGAATGATATTCTGAATGTACCGTAGCCAAAATATTCCCTTTTCCAAAATCCCAAGTTTCTTGTGCAATGAATGTAGCAAACTACACAGAATTGTTGGTAAAAAATGTAACGTTACACCCAAGTAGCTATAGGAAAAGTATGTAGGGTAGCAAGCGTAACTGCCAACATGTATTTTGGCACGAGATTTCACACGGAAATTCCGTTGTTCAGGGTAATGTTCAGACATCACAATACTACAACGGGAATTAACAGGAGCGCTGACTATTGGAAAATCTTTAATGAATTGCGCTACACCTTATTGAGTGATTGGTAGAATTCCTGGTTTATATAATAGATCGATCAACCATTTTATTCCCCAGATATTTCGTGCCAGGGAAAGAAAATGTGCTGTAGCATGATTGAGTGAGGATATCACAGGTATACATATGCAAATCAGTCTAAAATACCGATACAAATTATCGTACACAACACCTGGTAAAAACGCATCTTGAAACGACCAATTTCATTAAATACACGAGAAAATTCTCTCACATTGAACACTTACAGTATCGCTGCAACTCATAAAATTCCCCAGATAGTTTGACAGTCGAGGATTGTGAAGATAAACTCTGGATTCCAGCTCAAAATTGCAACATCCACTGCTGCTGTCTGCAACACTGTAGCAACCAGCTGATTACGGGTCAAAGGTTACACAGGCAAACACAGTGCATTTTTTGCATGTGTGCAAATTCCAACGGTATTAAACTGATTTTAAAAGTACCTGTGAAAAAAGATAAATGTTACTGAAATATTATCATCTATCTTTCAAAAAATAGTAAAAATTCAAGGAGGGCCACCTTGAAGCAGCGCCACCTTGCAACCGGAACTAGAGCAACACGTTGCACACGATATGATGATGACAACTCCGGACCGATAGCAATATGTTTTCTGGTTATAGATCGATTGTAGCTGTCTTCTGTCCTACCATGGAAAGATTTAACTATCCGTGCCATGTGTGTTTTACATTTGAGAAAATTTTAGAAGAGGAGAAAACAGAGAAGGAGGTTGGAGAAAAGTTGGAAAAGCTGGAAGATACATTTTGTATATCCTACGTGGTCATCCCTCCCCTAGCCCTAGCCCTAGCCCTAGCCCTAGCCCTAGCCCTAGCCCTAGCCCTAGCCCTAGCCCTAGCCCTAGCCCTAGCCCTAGCCCTAGCCCTAGCCCTAGCCCTAGCCCTAAAAGACTACAGTCTGCCCATCCAACTGCGTTTTTAGCAGACCAACTCCCCTGGAATTTTTTCCATCTACGTGTATTTGGCCAAATTCTTAGTAACTCTTTCCAGCTGCTTCTGAAGCCTGGTAGAGGCTAATATATATGATGTTGAACACAGTTTTGGGTCAGAATGTTGACATTTTCTCTCCCTCTTTTTTGCAGACTCATCGGCACCTTTCGGATGGTGCTTCAGAAACTGATACAAGAAGGACAGCTGTCCATCACAGAAACACTGCTGGATGCAAACAACACGGTTATAAACGTGAGTTTTCTGGTCTTAAGTAGTTAAAATATACAAGTTTAGAACTAAATGTATGTAATTCTATATATGTAACGTTAAATGTGTTTAATGGGGGCCTGTAATTGCTCTTTTTCGTAAGGCGTAATCAGGCCTTTTAGACTTCATAATCCGTAGGTAGCCTCCCAAAAATTCAACGTAATTCGTAAGTCAGAATCAGCTCTGAGACTTTAACATAATTGGTAATTGGCGGCGACAATTTTGCGTTATTCGTAATCACTACTCCCCCATGCAGGCCCTCTTTAATGTCTTAAGTAACAGTGTCAACTTTAACAGTTATTGGAATACTAACTTAGTAAAGTATTTTGAGCCCTGGATACTAAATATACAGTATGTTTGTTATATTCAAGGTCTGGTTGGGACAGTTCCCATTTAAGAAGAAATAACTGTTTTACTACATAATACTTCTCTGTTGTGTCCATTGAGTATACTCTTACTTCTAAGTATTTCAACAATTGAGATGACTCTTTCTATCACTAACATACAGGTGCAGCAAATGCATCAAAACGTAACAATTTGGCTCCAGGTATACATTCGGTCTTTAGATCTTGGGGTCATTGAAGCTTGGTGATGGTGCTGATTGTAGCGGTTGTTTAATGCATCCTGGAGCAAGGAAAAGCATCAAGCTTGCTCATTGTATTAGATTGGTTGGTTGTAGTGGTGAAGTTGCTCACATAAGACACTCCAATAATTAGCAGCACAAGTAGTCTACAGTAGTAACAACTTACAATGAATAAAAGAAAATAATCCTGTCTATAGTGACCATCTGTCCACATAGATCAGATTTTATCTAGTCTAAGTGGTCTTCTTCTGCAGTTATGACTGTACACATGTGCATATATAAGGTCTAATCTCCAAGCAGATCCTAGGGTGGCGTATTGGACCCTTTCCCAGGCCAATGGATACTGCCTGGCCACTTTGATACTTTACTTCTTTTGCCATCCTAGGATCTGCTTGGAGATTACATAAGGTCTAGTCTAGACTGGTTTTAATCATTCCAGGGAAATTTTTCCATAGACGGAAGTTGACCTAGAGCTGAAGTACCAGGCCCCCGAATCTGCCCAATTGCTCGGTCAGCAACTGGGGACTGATAAAATCTGGTCTATGTGGACAGGTGGACTGCTGAAGAGGACCACTTGACATCTCAGCATGCCCGTAGCCAGGATTTTGAATGGGGGGTTCTTCCCACTGCTTGCGGGACCAGCGAGAGGTTCCTAGGGGGGTCCAGGGGCATGCTCCCCTTTGAAAAATGAACCTTCTGAAATGGCAGTTTCTGCGCTTTTAAGAGGATTTCAAAGAAAAAAATAAGAGAGAACTTTTTTCAATGACAAAGTGGGCCGTTTTCCTACGATTCCAGCCTCGACACGAATCAGTCCATCTTTTAAAGAAAAATCTTGGACCTTTAGATAAAAAGTGGACCGAAAAGTGGACCTTTGAGCCTTGTCCAACCCCCCCTGGCTACGAACATGCCTCTTGTATATCTCATTTAGTCATTTCCTGGATGTCTAAGTTTACCTTCCATTGATGTTTCTATAGACTGAAGTAGACCTGGAGCTCAGGGTGGCATATTGGACCCTTTTTGGCCGATGGAATTATTACTGCCTGGCCAATTTCATACTGTCTTTTGCCACCCTAGGATCTGCTTGGAGATGACATGTAGATATAAGGTCTAGTCTAGACGGATTTTAATCTTTCTCTGGGAATGTTTCCATAGACGGAAGTTGACCTAGAGCTGAAGTACCAGGCCCCTGAATCAAGGCAATGGCTCGGTCGGCAACTGGGGACTGATAAAATCTGGTCTATGTGGACAGGTCAGGGCTCAAAATTGAAGGTGGTCCAATGGCCACTGACCACTAAAATTTAGGCTGGGACAACTAAAAAGACACTTTGGGACATTTTTGGGACAGTAGAAAAATGAAGTCATAGAATACTTTCCCCCAAAACAGGTTGGGACAGTTCATTTAAACTTCGGGGAAATTGAAATTTATTTTTGTGACAGTGCTGGGACAATAGGAAGAAAAGTTAATTTTGAGGCCTGCTAAGGAAGACCACTTGTATATCTCTTAAAGTACCTGGATGTCTTAATCCTTTTATTGATGTTTGCCTACATGTATAGACTGAAGTAGACCTGGAGCTGAAGTACCAGGCCCCCGATGGCTCGGTCGGCAACTGGATGCGAGAGGAATTCCACTTCCCTCAGGAGGACGACGACACCGTCTCTCTTCTCAGCAGAGACTCGCGATTCAGCACAAAGTAGGAACTTTTTTAAAACTCATTTAGGCTACACCAATTTTATTTCTTGGTTAAAGGATTTGCCCGTTTCATTCTGATTTGTAAAAAAAAAAAATCAGAATCAACTGCAAAATGCTCATATTTTGCCCTGAACAGTTGAAAACAGCCCGCCCGCTCCATTGTTTTTCTAGAAAGATCCATTAACCAAGAAATTGAATTGTTGCCTCATGGCACATTATAAAAACATAGCATACATAACATTATACCATCTTTACACATAGCTTGAACCTTGGTTCAAGCTTACACATAGCTACATAGCTAATCTTAGAAGCAATGTTTGTGATTCCTTTGCAAATTGAAACTTTTTTAACTTGAATATGAATGTACTTGTCTAATATATGAAGAACTAAGAAGTGTGCTTGAAATTGCTACTTCCTTACTGAGGTTACTAAAATATAATGTATGTGGAATGCTGACCTCCAGGTTTTTTTAGCTTTACTTGAACACTTGCTCCAAAGAAAGGTGCAGCCGTTGCTGTGTTCAATGTTCCTGATGATTTGCCATATTGCATCACATTTGGATGTGTGCAATGTGTCCAAATGATCTATCTACACTTGATCAGAATGCACGCTTCAAGCTTGAACATGACTAGGAGATACTCTGCTACAATACTATTACTACACTTGGAACTGACACTCTCACTGTACCCATTTAAAATATCATTTTGCAACATACACTATCAGAAAATGTTGTGATAGGAATTGCAGTGCATCACTTCAACACAGTTGCCATGCTACTTTGTATGTTGCAAGTGTTGAAAACATTTGCCACAGTATGCTGTGAATCACATAAAAGAGTATCATTGCCCTGCACTTACTTTAGGAGGTCTATTGGATTCTAGTGTCCATAACTCACTTGTGGAAAGGCTAAAGAAAATGATGGGTAATTTCAAGAGGTTAATGACAACATAACTGGCAAGAGCTCCATCTAGGAGATAGTCTCTTTACTTACAATAGTTAAGCGCTTTGCATACAAAACTCTCAATGAGGCCTGCACCAACCTACAGTCTGCTAAGGTAGCCATTTGGCACTGAATTTGTACTGGTTCCTGGGATAGGCAGAAGGAAAAAGTAAAGATTAACAGGTTGTACAGTTGAATTTTTGATTATTTTGATTATTAATGACTTTTTCAGTTTTCAGTTCAGTTTATGTTAGTCCCTTGTTAATTCTGTCGCATTATTTTATTATATTCCGTTGTTATTTTGTTCTATTTAACATTATATTGTTTTCAATGGACTCCAGGAAAGATTAGTGGATGTACATGTATTTTTATGGAAATCAAAATAAACCAGACTGAACTAATTCCAAACAAACTGTACATTTAAGTCCTTTTGCATACTGTGGATAGAATTTGACTAAGACGCCCAAGTGCACAATTATGCATGTTCCAGAAAACATAATATATAGTAGGTGCAAACCTTTAAATCGTCTATCATCTAAGATCTATGGTTGAATGGGCTCTTCATTGTAAAAACTGAAGACCTTCAAGATTATACCTCTGTCAATGAAGGTTAGACATCCAGGTACTAATAATGAGATACACATGAAAACAAAAGCAACAAAATCCACATGTACATGTATCCAGTTGCTTGAGTAACATTTTTTTATAGTGAAAACCTCAAAATTTGCATTGAATAGCTGCATGGGAAAAAGCCAGTGGTAATGAGTGAGGAGCCCCAAAATCAATTTTACGAGCCAAACGTTATACTTTTTCCTGGAACGTTCTTATAATGTATCGATTATTGCCTTTATCAAAATCCTTGGGGAGTCTGTGTTCAAGGTTGGTGAATCTGGAATGGTGGCTGTTCTCTCACTGTTAGTGTTTCCCCATAGGATACAGCAAGATATCATTAGGCTACACCAATTTAATTTGTTGGTTCATGGACTCCCCCATTTCGTTTTTTCTGATTTGCAAAAAAACAAAACATTTCAGGCTCTGAATCAACTCCAAAATGCTCATATTGCATAATTAAACAGTTGAAAAAAAAAAGTCACTTTGTTACTGTACACAGTTTTTGATCTTGATTAAAAGTTTGAAATTCATTGTACAAACCAGCCTGGTGGTATGTAGATTTCATGGCTCCTATCAAAGAATTTGGGGCTATCATAGGATGCCAAGGCCTGTTTTTATTTATTTATTTTTTTCACCGTCACTTAATATTTTTTCTGAAAAAATCAGAGAATCAACAAATCAAATTGGTGTGGCCTCGGGTCATTCAGAATGTATCTTTGATAGAAAATGTATCATACATGAAGACAAGGACATGTACATGTACAAGTTGTCACTGCTGCATTTGTTTCAAGGACTTTGCTAATCCTGACCTGAGGCATACAATGTTCTTTGGGGGGGGCTCCAAATACCACCTGTGTGTTGTACTGGGTTTATATACAAATATAAAATGTATGACTTTCTATTTGCTGCATTAATTGACTGTCACCGTGCACCTATTAGGTATAAAAGAAATAATGGCTTCTTTCTGAACAAATTTTAGCAGGTAAAATTTGTCTGGCGCAGGTAATTTTCAATCACTGGTAGAGCCAAAAATGTCTATAAAATGTTAAACGGACAATAGACATGATTTAGACATTGCTGAACAAAGGCCAGTCGGGAGAACATTAAGTAGACATAGTTATTGAAAAACGACAGCGAAATAACCCAAGGTGGACATTTTATATCCATAGTCTCTTCACACGTCAGGTAGGGACACCCCTAGGAGACAGTCCTTTGTTTAGCACAATGAGCATTAGCATCTGTCTATTAATTAATGGTGTCCTCCCCTATAAATTGTCTTGGCTTTGTGCAGTGCTTTTCATATGCATGTCAGTTTTCACACTTTTTTTTCTAAAGACATTCTGACAGACACCTCAAGAACAATGGAAAACACAACAAGCAAGTCCTCCCCAAAAAGACCCTGAAAAGCCCCTGTTCAGACATTCTTAGAAATGTTTGAAAAATGTCCGGAATTTTCGAGAATGTCCAAAAAGGGTCTATTGTCCGTTTAACATTTTATAGACATTTTCGGCTCTACCAGTGAATGTTACCTGCACCTGGTAAAATGTATGCAGAAAAGAGAATTTCGAGCCCTAAAGAGCTGGAAACAGTCGGATCAAAGTGTCAGCAGAGAGCAATACGCTGCTTCCTTGATGGCCGGTCTCTCCGTAATGTCCTGATTTTATCTGCTGATTTATCTGTTTGCCGATGGACGGATTCTTTACTGTCACGACCCGCAGTTGGCAGTCATTATTATTCATTTCCGGTGGAGTCTGTTGGGTCGCCCTTTGGAGATAACTCACTGTTATGTGGTGAAGGGGCACAGAACCCAGAGCAGCTAGAGCACATCAGCAGAACATACTGCACCTGCACGAAACACCAATATTGCACCAACAGTTAAAAAGATTTGTTACAGTTTTCGGATCTTTTAATCGTTTGATTAAAAGTTTGGAATTCATTGTTTAAATTACCAGCCAGCCTGGTATGTAGACTTCAAGGCTCCTATCATAGAATTTGGAGCTGTCATAGGATGTTTTTAGATAACTCACTGTTATGTGTTGAAGGGTAGAGCAGCAGAGCACATCGGCAGAACGTACTGCGCCTGTGCTAAACCCACATTATTTATGGTCAACGTTCCATCAGAATTTTGCCCGTTGCAGACGATATCTTTTCTGACATAACATTTGGAAACTACAGACAAAAGTTATGATGTTACAATGTAGCTACCAATGCGAGGTACATGTACATGTATATGCGTTATTGTACATGAAGGCAATAGTTGCCAGGCAGATGAAACGTAGTGTATGACTGATCATTTTTCACCGGGCTGTCAGGGGCAGGATATTGAGTTTGACACGACGCAGCGACTCCCCTACAGGGGGACTAATTTTAGCCGCAGACTGACACCCTTACGACCGCAAAGTAATTGAGCGCATGTTTTCCACCTCAATATCTGCCATGGAAATGGGGCTAAGCCATGCAAGGCAAGGCTGGCAACAGATAAGAGTTGTTATTTGTATCAGCGTTTCTTCTTGACTTCACAATTAGCAAGTCAGTGGTTCCTGTCAAAACTTGTTACGTAAGAACTTGAATCAGGAACTTACAGACATGTCAAACTTGTTAAAATTGACATGTCGTTTTAGCCAGGAAAGTAAAGATGGAAATATTGTATCATTCATTTTGTATATATCATCACAGTCAAGTTGAATCTGCTTTCACAATGACTTCTAATGCTGAAAACAATGAATAAGTCTAGTAATTATATAAGAATGTACATGATTAAGCTATGGGAGAGAGTGAGTGAGTGAGTACATGATGAGTTATTTTTTATCAAGTTACTGTAATAAGAAAAAAGAAGTACTGTGCACTTTATTCAACCCTTCCCCTATTGTTTATAACTTTTCTGACAAGTAAATAGTTCTGCTAAATTAAATCAATCAGATCTCGAATCTGTCGACATTCATTATTTGCCCATGTTACTGGTTGATAACTCTGGTACTGGAAGACACTGACATGCCAAATGTCACTTTCTGCCTGATGTGAGCGACTTGTAACACCTAACCTTTGCACGTCTAACTCTACGCATACATTGTAATGTTTAAGGTTATCTAGTGATGATGCCCCTACTGTACTTGGTAGCAGCAACTTCCACTCTACAATAGTTCTAGGAAAAAACGTTTTTGAACGCCTCAATCATTGGTTGATACATTTTGTAAATCTGGTAACATCCGTGTCCATAATATCACCAGGGTCCATAATGTCGCCACCTTGAGAAATAGTGTGCTTTAAGATATTTTTACTGCAACATACTTTTGGTATGCACTCCTTCACACATCAAATGTACATACCTAGGGTATGTTGCAGTAAAAATATCTTTAAGCACACTTTTTCTCAAGGTGGCGATATTATGGACTATGGTGATACATTATGGACACGGATGTTACTTGAAATCATTGACATGCCACGTGTCA